GTTATCTACGGACAATCCGACTGAAGCAGGAAAATTTCTCTCGCAATAACAACACAAATTACACAAGGAGACATAAATTTATTACTCATAAAAACAGCTGCTGTCAGGTCTTCTCAAGAAGCCGTAATGACCAGCCAATGTTCGTAAATGAATGTAAGTTTAAAGAAGGATGACAGTCGTATTCGCTAAAAACATCTTTTCTGGATTTCGTTGAGCAAAACGTAAACATCTTTTCAGCAAATCCAAACTATACTCCACGACTTCTCACGAACATGTCACGGAGGATTTTAACTTTAGGTGAACTTTAAGACTCTTTTACCTTTGTTTCGGCTTAGTTTCCATTGATGGTTAATGAATAAAGAAGCAAATTTTCTTTCTCACGTTTACAGAAAGAATATTTTCATTCAAACTAGACGATTGTGGCATGTTCATAATCAGCCAATAGAACCGTTTGTTATTGTGTCGCGCATTATGAGAATTTTGCAGTTAATCAAAAAGCAAGCATTATTGTCAGCTATGTTATAAAAGAATTTGCGCATGCTTTTAGCTGTGCGTATATCGAGTTATGGATGCACTTGGGAAGTTTGGAGATCACTCAAGAAGCTAGAGTTGCACTCGGCTATCGCCTCGTGCAACTCTTACGCATCTTACGCTCTCCAAACTTCCCGCGTGCATCCATAACTCGATATACGCACGCTAAGCATGAACAAATTCTTAAGCATTCGGGGGGTCGTGAGTTCAATTCTCTCCCAGGGTACGAAAATTTTCGTTGTCCCGGGCGAGCATGATTTCTCCTCCTTCCAAGTTGAAAATGTTCACTGGAAGTGTATGTGTGCTGCTCACTCGTGTATCATTAAAAGAGAAAAACACAAAATGGCGGGTGAAACTTAAGTGATACCGACTGATTTTACTTTTCTTTTTATAATCCGAGTTGTTTTTTTTATGATCCGAGTTGATCCGAGTCCAATTTTATTTTATTTTAATTTTTTTATTCGATCCGAGTTGGTCCGAGTCGATCCGAGTTGATCCAACCCGGACTGGCGGTCCGAGTTGATCTGGTCCGACTTTTGTAGCTGCCTCAAAAGAACATTTGAATTGTAAAATTTGTCAAATAAACACCTGTACAGTGTGGGTTTGGATAACAGTGGGCATCTTTGGAGAGGGCACCCTTGATTGCTGTTTTCATATGCCTAGCAGCTCCATGCATGCCTTCACATTCTGGATTTTTTGTTGGACTCTGTGCTTCTATGAACTTAACAACAGCTGTAAGAGAAAACAAATTATGAATAATACAAGTGAGTTCAAGAGGTTCTTATATTTTCTAATAACTCATCAAGTTAACATGGATGTGATGTACCATGACTTGCCCATGAAAATATTACCTTCAAAGTACAATGATGACGTTGACTATGTTACTGAATACATGTACTTCACATTAAACCTCTTCTGTAGGACTTTTTCATATGCATAGTGCTCCTTTGTTGTTACAAAGTAAAATAAAATGATTTGATCATTCTAGAGTTTCGTAAGATTTTGAATACTTAAGTACTTTAGTGAACGTTATGTCCAAACTTCAAGACTGAATCTAAATCAAGATTCTTTTTCCAGGTTTGGAGCTAAACTTTGGAACACAATTCCTAAAGAATTTTGTCAACTCTCCAAAGAGATTTAAAAAAAAGTCTCATGACTCTTTGCTCTCAATAATGGAAGCAGAGGAAGATTATGTTGAAGTGCCCATTCTCCTAGAAAAAATGGCAAATTCTGCATCCTCAAGGCACTAATAATTGATAGGTTCTGTTAGTAGTAAATTTGTCTTGTAATATCATTCTGTAAGACTATATATTTTGTACCTTAAGCTTGTTTTTCTGTAATTCTTATTTATCCATGTAGTTTATTTAGTCACTTTACAATATCATCTGTTATGACTGCTATAGCCTTTCCTCTCCGCCCACCTCGTCTAGCTTTTGCTATTTGCGGGCCGAGATGCATGGCAAATTGATGTGTATGAAAATAAAGTATAGTTGATATAGTTGAAAGGGACACAGAAACAACAAACTCAAGAGTTGGCCCTCAGGGCCACCACCGTTTCGTGCAGTTTTTCTAATGAGTGCTGGAGTAGCTTTTGAGTTAATACAGGGTTTCATTTACAATGGGGTCTGGTTGACGCAGGTTTCACCAAGGTATTGTCATTTTCCAGGCTCAACGATGAGAAGAATAATGCCCAAATTCAGATTAAACTACCATACTTATTACTTATTCAGCAAAATAATTATAACAAATCCCCTGGGGAATTCTTCATTGTAACCAGCTAGCACTGACTAAATTTGGACATTTGTGATATTCAATAAAATGACATCATTGGTGCAGGATAACAAAAGAAAAAGGTACAGCAACCAAGAAGCCCTGGGGATGGGATTGCATTAGCTGAGCAGTTTTGGTAGAGCTAGAGAAAAATAACAGAGAAAATTTCATATATTTTGCATAGAAGAAATAGCCACCCTACTTGCCTAAAAACATAGCAAGAATAGTAAACAATACACCTCAATGGATGACAACTGCTATTTGAAGAATATCTTGTAGACTACATTTGATTGAGCTAAGGCTGTTTTAGTTAGTTTTTTTTTTTAATTATGAATTATTTTGAATGAAAAATTCCTTTGGTATGATCTAAAATATTATACATTCTGAGGAGGGTTATCTGCTGAGATAACACCTCTCTCAATCTGCAAAATTCTTCAGATCATAGCCTCATTCAATAATTGCTAAAGATGACTGGTGTTGAGTTTTTGTGCAACTAGCACTATGCTGGGACTTGTAATATTATTTTACACAGTTTCCTTTGTTGAAGCCTCCTGTGTTGATTACTACAATTTACAATAAATATATAAAAACGATTCTTATCCAACTCTTATACAGTAACACATCACATTTTGGACCTCCTTACCTGGAACATTACAAGCTGAATTATATTCATTGTTACCAGGTTATCAACATTTTTGTCAATATCAAAATAAAACAGAAATGAATTACAGTCAAACCAGGTCAAGCGTACCCCCCAAGAATCCATTAATGAATTTATTATTCAAAAGTTGAATCCATTGATAGTTGTAGATTTCAGATTGATCTCTGCATTCTTGTATGTGTAATGAGCCGTGAATCTACACGCGAGGCAGTTATGAAATTTCTTCCAGCTCCATTTTCTTGAAATTGATGTAAATGTCTTCTAAGAAGCTTAATTCATTCAAAGATTTCCAATCTGACCAAATACAAAATATTCTCTCGTAAAATATTCACTGCTCATTACGCATGCAGAAATGCCGCTTTGAATTTGACACCAGTTACGGGAACGACTAACGGATTCATTTTTCAAATAGTCAATTCATCTTGGGGGGTACGCTTGACTTGGTTTAACTGTAACAGTTCTGTAATAATGCAAGACACTACTTGTGATATACTGGTATTGTGATTGAATCCAAAAGCCAAATTCCATAAAATGTGTTTCCAGCTCAACAAGCGCACAGGATTTGTGCATTTTGCAAGAGTTTTGTAAAGCAAAATAAAATATATCTTTGTCATATCTGAACTCTTGGATGAAGATTTTCTAACATGAATACTCAAAGCTGCATAAAAATAGTTAAGGGAATTATTGAAAGTGATGTACACTGTACATATAAACAAGGTAGAGAAATGATATGCCAACCTGATTTTATCAACAAGATCATAGTTCACTGTCAAGTGAAACAGTTAAGTTGACTTAAATAAGTCTGTAGCAGTAGTTGAATTATAAATGTCACGAAACAAACAATCAGCACAACCTGATAAATAATTCAGCCCATTCCTTCCTACAAGCTGGGACCAGTGAAAGACTGTTTGAAGTAAAGAGCATGATAGCTAGAATAATATTATTATAAAAAAGACAGGTATCAAGAAGTTTGTGCTCTGTGCATCAACATAATGGAGCTTATATGAAATAACTAAGACGCATCGAGAATATCAATTTAAAAAATGAAAAGAATAGGCTAGCTAGAGACTGTGTTGGACAGGAACCTTCCGATTCGATATGTTTTGAAATCCATCGCTATCTCCAACAACCTCATTCGACCCCATAGAAAACAACAAGACCAGAAATGCATGGCAATCGTGACTCATCGTCTTCAACATTCAATACAAGTCGGGCAAAAAAAGTTTTGGACGTACTAATGGTTGAACGGAAGCATTTCGATCGAAGAAAACAACAATAGCCTATAGGACGTTCACATTAAAGCATAAACACATCGCAAAACAAGGGATCATCGATACCACAAAATATTACTTTGCCTTCTGAGAAACCTGGCCAGAGCTATAAGGTACATCACGAGTAGCTTACTTGTATATTTAAAGCTTAAAAACAGGAGCTAAACGATAGTACACAAAAAGTTCCTGTTCGACAAATATCAGCGGAATCGAGAAAATCATGCGTATGTTTTCAAGGAAACATATTCTACACTCACATAACAGGAAAAGAACGTGGCGAAGGATCCACATACTGGATTTTCAGAACAAATGCAGATGACGAGGCAGAAATTCATGTGACGAAGAACCATGTATCAGCGAAGTTTGCTCGCCGCTTGAATATTGTTTTTCTTCAGATCGTCGTGAATCATGGGTAAAATTAAAAAGGTGTTTGTCTGTCAGCGGCAATAATAGCGGCAATTTAATATACTGTATGTAAGAACCGCACTTTTTCCTCAAATTTTCGCTGCCTGACACTTTCCGGCGTTTTCCGACCTATTGATACGTTCTTACACATATTCATTTGCTTATCAATAAGCTGTGGAATTCTCTGGCTTGTGCTTTTGAAACTGACATTTCTCAACTACCGGTGACTTTGCCTCTTTACGGTAATCATGGATAAGAGAACTTTGTTGACACGTATGCAAGATAATGCATAAAATTCCAAAGCTTTGTTCTTACAGCGTTTTGTTTCATATTGATTTTCGAAGTACCGCTTAGCCTTTAAGATGAGATTGCAGACAAGAAGTGTTCTGTTAGTAGGCCTTCTTTTTTCTGGAGTATTTATTTTCTTTGCTTTGGAGTTATGGTCCATTCTTCCGTTTTCCGATGATGAAAAAGAAGTCAACCCGTCTCCTTTCGACGACAACTTGGTCGAAGTTGCCGTAAAAGCGGAGACACCGCTTGCCAAAAAGAGGGACACTAAGTGTCTGATGCATAGCTGTTTTGACGTATTTCGATGTGCAGTGAATGAAAACAAACTTATATCTGTCTATGTGTATCCTTACACCCGCTATTTGGACGAGAATGGGCATGCTGTCAACCAGGAAATGTCTCAGGAATTTTATGAACTTTTCGCAGCCATAGTAAACAGCAAGTACTACACTTCTGATATGAATAGTGCCTGTATTATAATTCCTTCGATAGACACCTTGAACCAAAATGGTCTAGACGTCAAAGGCATCGCCAGAATTCTTTCTGGGCTACCCAGGTAAGTTCACTCCGCATATACTGATAATACATGTAAGTGAAACAAAAATACAGTGAAACCTCTATTAAGCGGACACCTTCGGGACCCTCCCAAGTTTCCGTGTAATAGAGGGTGTCCGCTTAATGGAGGTTGTAAAAATTGTGCAATGTTTGTTAACGATCAGCGTTCAACGGTTACTCTGTACTGTGATAAAGTTGCATATTGTTAAAGAAGCTATCCAGAGTTCAAGTTCATTACCTTTCATTACCAACTTTAATTTGTTTGTAAATGCAAAAACATTAACTGACTTCAGTCCGTATTTCAAGAACATATTCCAATACTACTTTTGTCCGGTGTCTGCTTAATAGAGGTTATTAACAATAGAAATTAGCCAAATACACCTTATTTTAGTGTCCACGTTCGCTTAATACAGGACAACTTGGATTAATATTAATCGGATTAATATTAATCCTAATGATTATTATAATCCAGTAATAGATTATTGTAATCCAGTAATAGATTATTATAATCCATTACTGAGGTTTGAGCCGTGCCTTGATCAATTAGGATTACTATTAATCTTATGTAGGATTAATATTAATCAGATTAATATTTATCCTAATATTAGATCCAGTAATAGATTCTTATAATCCATAACTGAGCTTTGAGCCGTACCTTAAACGATTAGGACTAATATTAATCTGATAAATATAATCCCACATAGCTCAAATTTGTACAAGTCTCTCAATAAAGAAAATATTCTATTCTAACCACGACGAATTTGCTACTTGTGCTAGTAGTTTGTGAACAAAACTCTTAATTACATTCAGTCAATAACCGCACTCCTTATTATACGTTATTATATTTTAGTAGCAGAAGTCGGCAGTTGTCTCAGCTCTGCTGGTAATACAGTTGCAACTGAATTTTTTGCAGGGATGATTATTACTAATAATAATCTAATCCTTCCAATTTTTGCCGTGCCTTAATCTATTACTGGATTATAATAATCTATTGCTGGATTATAATAATCTATTACTGGATTATAATAATCTATTACCGGATTATAATAACCATATTATAATCTATTATTATTATAATCCACGGATTAATATTAATCCGAGTTGTCCTGTTAATAGAGGTGTCCGCTGAATAGCAGTTCATTATAAAGGGAAATATAAGACGTTAATTTCGGGACCCGGCTTAGTGTCCGTTTAATAGAGGGTGTCTGCTTAAATGGGGGTCTATTAATAGAGGTTTCACTGTAACGGTAATTGAAACTGCAGATATTGCTCCAAATGTAACCAGGGTTCAAGTTTTGCCCAGAAGATTAATGTACCAGTCAATTCCAAAACTACCCATCCCCCTCGCCAAACTGTTTGAGAGATGGTGATGTCATGCGCAATGTGATCTCATCCATTTACTGTAATTCGTAACAGCCATGACAATGCCTCAAACAGTTCAGAAGGTCTGCCTGTGATGTTATTCACAAAAGAATTTATTTTAATCACCCTTCAACAAGGTAATATTGTCAGCAATCATTCACTTGCTTGTGTGCAGAAATAGTTTTGTAACAAAGGGAGGGCACATTTAAATGTTGACTTTGAAACATTTAATTATGTAGCTAGTTTAGGCTAAGCCTTTAAAAAGACCTAAAACTAGCTCTTATGGTAGCCTGCAAATACAGCCATGTTTCCCACTCTGCACCGCTAGGGACACTTTGCAGGAAAGACATCTGCACCTCAGTGACAGACATTCCATACTGATTTCCGGAACCTGGTCAGGAGCACGTAAGAGTTATTTTAGCTGCAAGACTCAGAAAATGCAAGCGCTTCTTGTGTATGTGTGTATGTGTACTTGCCAAAAGAGAATCGTGGTCCCAGGCATTCCTAGTGACGACTGTGGAAACTGGGGATACAAATCGTGATGTGTCACAGCACCATTGCTTTATTTTGTCAAGAAAGCTTAAGAAAGGTTGATGCGAAAGGTGTTGAGCCTTTCCGGAATGGGTCGGTCCACAAATTCTATCACCTTAAAGCGTTGATTACTTTGGCACAAGTGAATACTTTACTGAAAATTTTGATGGTGAGGCTATAAACTGGTTGGGTGTTGTAAACTTTCATTGTATGCAAATGAGTCTTGTAAGGAGCATGCAGTTTAGTTTTGCCAATGATTGAAATGACATGCCATGTTCATCACGTTTTTGGTCTCTGGCAATGATGTTATTTCTCTCAAATTGATTTTCGTGAATTTATACACTCGTTCTCAATCATTGTTGAATACAATATAAAAAGTAAACATCCTGAAGAATACTCGAACATCAATGAAGTAGGAGGTGACAAACTTTTAGTGAAGAAATCCTGTTTTGTGTATTATTATATAGCTGTTAGTTAATCCGATTTTGTCATATTGTTAATATATAGATTTAGCCAGGGCTAAAAGCGAAGCTCTCGATAAGATTTATAGTTTGCTCAAACAAAAGGTAAAATCGCGAAATGCAAAGCGGCGAATGCAACAAGAACGGTGAAAAAACAACATGTCTGATTAGCGAAAAAGCAAGTTTGCACGTGCAGCACACCATTTTTGTACATTTCTTTGCCGTTGTTTTGTAAGACTACAACAAGAAACTTCCAGAAACTTCCTGGCTACACGTTTTATGGAGGAAATGTCATACGTGTTCTTGTTCACTTTTTTTCCACTGTCGTTCATTTTCACCCAGGTGGCCGCTAGCATTTCTTATTTTCTCACTGCTGCTACAAAATTTCATGTTGTTCCTCCAACAAAAAATGTCTCTGTTGTTTTTTCTATCTCACTCTAGCTCCTTTTCTCATTGAGCTTTGCTGGCCTGTCGCCTTACTTTCTCTTTTTCTCTCTCTTTCTCTTTCTCTATTTTCCAAATTTGGGGAAATGACAATATTATTAATCTACACCTAACACTTTAGACAACAGGATACAAAAACATTTTCCGCTTTCCGTTTTTGACTCTTTAGCTGTCTCTGCTTCACAAGAAGTGGGTGGCCATATGCTTTCCCACCAAAATAACCTGACATTTAGCACCGGCTTACATGAATTGGGTGTACAGACGGTCGGTGTTCGTACACTACGTCACAACCAAATTTTCTCGGATGGATAGTTTACCAAATTTTCTTACCCATGGTACTCCGCTGGTGCACTAGCACGCGAGAGCTCTGCTATAAACTGTCCAATTAAGAATTAATTTGGATAGTTTCAGACAGGACTTTCCTTTAGAAATAAGCAAACTGTCCAAATTAAAAAAGAAACAGTGTAGGATCTGAGCCGACCAAATGCCAGAAAATGCGATACAATTTGGATTAATTAACCAGCTATGTCATGCTTGTCCAATTTGGAGATAACTGAATTAAAAAAATTGGCTTTCCTTGGAATTTTTTTCATCGAATCATTTCCAAATTGGACAGCATATAGTCCTATGACATATATCAATTAGTTGCCTTCTCATTTCTTTTCTAATCTCCAACCAAGCAAGACTTATTTAACGCTTTTTTAACAGCATTCTTGTTCTCGCTTAAAATGTCAGCTTAAGTGGAAAAAATTGACACAGCATTGATGGTAAAGATTTTCCAAGTTTCAGCCAGCAAGGGAATGGGTAAATAAAGTAAACCCAGACACTTGCCTGATTAGCACGCAAATTTAAGCATAACATCTTGACCTCACGACTTTGTTTACATATTGTCATGCAAACACACCTCAGCCAATCAGAGAGCGTGTACTATCTTAATTATTATTTTAGCTATTTACAATGACAGACAAAAGATAAAAGGCAACAGAGAACAAATGTAAACATGATGAATCTACTGTTATTTTTGAAATGCGTGTAAATTCTTCTTTAGAAAAAGCATTTGAGTTTTGCTTGCCACTCGTTCAAAGAAGAACTCAAAACTTAACAGTAATAGACCAGGAGAAACATAAACTCAAACGAATTTACATTTCAATCCCCATGACTACCAGATTAATTATGTAAACATTGATTTTGTATGTCATCAGTGTGGATTTTGTGTCATGAAGGTGTAGATGTCACTCCTGCAAAATAATAGTCTCTAGTGGCAAGGAGTGAGGAGATCAGAGATGGCTGGCTTTTATCATTACCAATATCTATTAAATTTCTTTTTTAGCAATAATTATGCTTAATCTAAATGTGAGTCAAAAGAGTAAACCAAATGGTACCCAAGGATAACATCCTAACATCCATAGGATGTTAGCACTTATTTTATTTGCAATAGTGTTTAGACAGATTTTTTTATCCTTGTAGTTGGAAAGATGGGGGCAAAAATCACTTGCTGTTTAACGTGTTACCTGGCAGCCCCCCAGATTATAACTCATCACTGGATATTGCAACCGATAAGGCAATCGTGGCTGGTGGTGGATTTGCCACATGGAGCTTCAGACCTGGATATGATATTAGTATTCCTGTATACAATGCTCTTACCAGGAAGAAGGGTCATTCATCAACTAAAAGGTTAGGGGCCGATGTTATTAACACTGATTTGTCAACCTTGCCACACAATAGCAAAAATATTGATCATACTTGTTTGTAGAGCACCACCTGCCTCAGGGGGTTGCAAAGTGAGCATTTCAATCTAAGATTTGTTTGCTTTTATTATCCAGTCGTACATGCAGTAATAAAAATTAAGGCAACTTTTGTGACAGCCTCAATTCATGGCATTAGATTAAAGGTGCTCTAATATGCTTCTGCTTTGACATTTTGAACTTGGATCTCTTTTCAATAATCTTTGTACGGTACTAGTTGGGACCGAAATACAGTGAACAAGACGCCATGTAGTTTACATATGTGAAACCCTAAACTATTGATCTATTGATAACATATTGTAACATCCTTCCCTTTTTGACGAATCAAAGCGTCTAATCAACAATTAATCAAGTCCGTGATTAATTCAAGTTCAATGTTCGTGACACTAAAGCAAATCGTGCCTTAATTAGCTAAACTATGTCTTGTCTCATGAATCATGCCTTAATAATTGCTTTTCTTTTTTTTCTTTGCTATTGTCTGCCCTTCAATGATAACTGTCCTTTAGTGCGGACATAGTCTTGTAGGTATGCGGGAGAACTCGTGGTTCGCTGTGGTCTCGAGTTCTGAGGTGTGGTCATGTTCCTTGTAGGAGAGGATTCCTTCTGATTTTCACTGGCTCTGTCTGTTTTTCCTGTGGGTTTTGGAGAACCAGGTGCGGGTAACATATCTTTTTTCTCTGCACCTCCGAGTTCGTTGCTGTCCTTGTTGTCCGTTGGTTCTGATGGTGTCTCTTTGAGTCTTCTTAAGATGTACCCTGTTACGGCGGTATGTGTCTCCTTCTGGCGTTTCTACCGTGTATGATATTTCATCCAAACGACTAGTTACGGTTGCCTTTCTCCATTCCTTATAACCTAAGCGAAATGGTTTCATGTGAACGACGTCGCTGTCGGACAGCTCTGATAGGCTCCTCTCACCGCGATTGTAGTAGTTGGCTGTCTCAGTTTGACGCTTTCTTAAGAGCTTAGTGTCCCTTTCAGGATACATCACTCGAGGTTGTAGTAGTGATCTGGCTGTTGGCAATAGTTTCTTGGTGCGTTATTCATCAGTCTTTGAGCCGGACTGGCGTCCAATCCTTGGTTCAGTGTATGACAATAGTCCAGGATTGCCATGTACGGATCTCTTCCACTGTCAAGGGCTTTCCGGAGGTGATTTTTGGCAGTGTTTACGGCAGACTCTACTTTCCCGTTTGCCTTGGGGTTACCCGGGCTGCTTGTTAGGTGCTCAAATTCCCACGTGCCAGCGAATTTCTGGAAAGTGTCGGATGTAAACTGGGGTCCATTGTCACTAATAACTTGGTCAGGACATCCGTATCGTGCGAGGGGACTCTTCAGCTTGAGGACCACTGTACTGGCAAGGGTGTTGTTTAACTTGGCAATTCCCAGTAGTTACTGAAGTAGTCGATTGTAAGGAGGAAATCTTTGTTGTCAAAGGAGAAGAGATCAACTCCGATTTTCTCCCGTGGCCTCGAGGGCGTCTCCACAGGCATGAGGGGTTCTTTGGACTGACTAGCTTCAAATTTTCTACAGGTTTTGCACATTGCAATCATTTCTTTGATTTCAGCATTCATTTTGGACCAAAATACACACTCTCGTGCACGGTGTAAGCAAGATTCTGCTCCCATGTGAGACGAGTGGATTCTTTGTTTAATGTCTTGTCGCAGAGCTTGCGGTACGACGACTCTCTCACTCCTCAATATTAGTCCGTCCTGAACAGACAGTTCATCTCTGACGATGAAATAAGGCATTACTTGCATGGGAGCGTCTTTTCTCTCAGCAGGCCAACCTTGTAATATGACAGATTTAAGGATTTGAAGTGTCTTGTATTTGTCTGTCTCGCGTCTGATCTCTTACAGTCGTTGATCCGAGATCAGAAGAAGGCTGGCCGTGTTGACTTGCTCAAATTCGTTTGCTTCTTCAACGGTCGATCTCCGCTCGGGATATTGGCACTACAACCTTGATGAAGACTCAAGTCTCCTAGCCACCTTCGCCACACCGTTTGGGTGATACGGCTGGCGAAGACTGCCCTTTGGTTTATCGCTCTCTTCGGAGATTTTCCAGAAAAGGGTTAACAAATTCTAGAAGGCCTAGAAGGAGTACTAGACATCACAGATGATATTTTGATATACGGTGTTGAAAACACTGAAAAAGAAACCAATTTAAACCATGATCGAAAGCTCCTAAAATTCCTAGAAAGATGTAGTTGCATGAGCATGGCTCTTAAACCGGAAAAACATAAATTGTGACGAAAGAAAGTCACTTTCATGGGACATGAACTGACAAATGAAGGAATCAAAATCGATCAGCAGAAAGCCAAAGCAATCTTGGAAATGCCTAACCCCACCAATGTGGAGGAAGTTCAACGCCTGAATGGCTTTGTGGATTACCTTGCAAAGTTCCTGCCCAAACTCGCTGAGAGCTTGGAGCCAATACGTCGACTCACCCACAAGAATGAAAGAAACTGCCTTTCAAGAAAATAATACAGAAACTCGTCACAGAGGCGCCGGTTCTCAGCTACTACAACCCTTGTAGTGACCTACAATCTTGGACAAAACTGTTGAGAAAATTGCATACTTGGAGGGCATTTTTTCTAAACTTCGTAGCCGACCAATTCTTCCCTCCCCCCCTCTCCCTGGAAGCAGTGTTGTTGGGTCTTCAAAAGAAAGCCCGATCCCTAAGCATTTGTAGGAAGCAACTTTGAACTGGGGGAGGGGGTTTTCTTTACGCAAAGCCGTTGATTCGGAAATAGTTTTGTTGCGTTAGGTAGTGCGCATTAATAAAAACATTTCCTCAAGTAGTTTTGTCCAGGATTGTAGCTATCCAATGCGACGCCAGTCAAAAGGTACTAGGCGCAGCCTTCCTTTAAGATCAGAAACCTGTGGCTTACGCTAGTCATGCGCTCACAGAAACTGAGACACGCTATGGCCAGATAGAGAAAGAAATGTTAGCCATCGTTTACGCTCTTGAGAAGTTCAATCAGTTTACCTATGGAAGACACGTCACCATTTACAGCGATCATAAACCCCTTGAGGCCAGTTCAAAGAAGCCCTTAGCACATGCACCCCGACGACGACAAGGTATGATCATGAGGTTTCAAAAGTACGACTTTGATGTGCAGTACGAAAGAGGAAAGAATATGTACATAACAGACCTCCTATCTAGAGCCTTTCTGCGAAACACCGACCATGAGGATATTTTAGCCTTTGATACCTCCGGGAGAATGTCATCAAGGACGGGAAGCTGATAGCGCTCTCTTTTTAGGGCTTTGTTAAGTGTTCTCGGGTCTATGCAGATCATAAGGGTTCCTGATTTCTTGGTCGCTGTAACTACACTACTGGCCCATGGCGTTGGCTTGTCAACTGTGAAGATGACTCCTAACTCTTCAAGTCGTGTGAGTTCTGTCTTGAATTTTTCTTTTAGTGCTGTGGGTATTCTGTGAGTTGGAGTGACTTCAGGCCTCGCGGATTCATCCACTTCTGTGTGTACAACTCCAGAAAAGCAGCCAAGTTGTCGTTCAAACACATCAGGGCCCAGTTGTTCGAACGCGGGTTAGCGCTAACCCGGGTTAAATTTTAACCCGGGTTTCTTTTTCCTTATTATCAAAGCACTCTCTCGGATAATTTTCTCTATTTTTTTTAGCATATCCAATCATCAAATTGTAGGCAAAGAGAATTCAACTGAATTGGCTTTTTAAGCTCTTATATCTGAGTTCAAAAATTAGCAATAACCCTGGGTTATCTTAACCCAGCTTCGAACAACTCGGCCCAGAGGATTAGATTACCACTTGGTCAAGAGTCAACAGATTGTTCACTTTTGGTTTACTCCTCTTAGGCGGTGGAGCTGGCTTGAAGTTGTCCCAATTCACAGTGATCAATTTCATGTGCTGTGCTGCTCTAGCTCCCATCAAGGGAAGCAATTCTTCATTGACCACGACAAATTCCACTGAGTATTTGTAGCGATTGGCTGGGTTCGTTGCCGTCCCAAGTGGCGTGACTTCCGTTTTGTTCCACATGATGAGGGTTTTTGAAGTGGGTGTTAATTTGTGCTTGTCAACTATGCTCTTGGGGATGATATTTATCAAAGAGCCGCAATCCATTTGAAATATGACTGATTTGTCATCAATTACCATCTCAGAAGAGATTTCTTTTGCAAAGTGGCGCTTATCAGATGGTCCAACAGAACACACGTTTTCTGCTATACTAGGTATGTAATCAACTTCTTCGTCATCCTCAGCGGGGCTATCTGTTGGTTCGATATTGTGCACATTTTTGCCACTCTTCTTACATTTGTTTGCGAAATGATTTCTTCCTCCACACTTGTTACAATTATGTCCCCAGGCTCGACATTGACCGCGAAGAAAGGGGTGATTTCCACCACAGAAGTTACAAGATTTTCGTGACTTGCCATTCTTTCCATTCTTTCCGTTCCGATTATTGTAATTGCGGTGGCGATAGTTTTCTTGTTTTCCCTTTATTTGATGAACATCTTCAGACGTTTTTGCCTTGCAGTTGTGAAGCTGTCGATTCGTTGCTCCGGCAGATATCTATACACTTGTTGAGTGTTTCGTTCCTGTAATAATCATTTTCTTGTCTGCGGGTTGCACACACCTAATAAGATCCTATCTCGAATGAGGGTGTCTCTCAAACATTCGCAGAAATTGCACGTCTGTGCGAGAGTACGAAGCGTTGCGATATATGAGTCAATAGATTCCTCAGGTGACCGGTTTCTGCTGTTAAACACATAACGCTCATACGTCTTGTTAATTTCGCCAATTGTGAATTCTTCGAACTTGTTTATGATGCATTCCAATTTCTCGCTATCATCTGGGTTTTCAAAAGACACACCATTAACAATCTTTACGGCCCCAGGACCTATGCAGTGCAGCTACCTTGTATAGAACTTTGTATGCTTCAGGCTGCGAAGTAATATTCATGATTATTGCGTAGTTTTGCCACGCTTGGTTGAAGGTCTTCCAGTTGTCCGCCACGTTCCCTTTCACGTCCAAAGGACGGGGAGGGTGAATTCCTTGAATAGGGGAAATATTGCTTGCTATAGCGTTTGCGGCGGTAGAAGGAGTTGCAACAGTGGACGTATTAGTAGAAGTCGTTTCGTCTCTATCACTCATGAGTGTTGTAATAAAAATTGCGCTGCCACCATGTTTCAATAAGCTTTATACGGTACTAGATGGGCCGAAATACAGTGAACAAGACGCGATGTTGACCACAAGTGTTAAATTGGGTGTCATTTAAGTGTACATAATATTGATCTGTTGATAACATATTGTAACAGATTTATCAGAGTTTCAAAGACTTAAAGCAATGATTGCCAAAAAAAATGATATTAATTATTGTGATCCTGAACGTGACGTTAACGTATTTTGAATTTTGTACCTCTATGTTACCTGGGTGACAAAAAGGTGAATTAAATTATAAAGAAATTAGAAAAAAAGGACAAGGTTAGTTCCTTCTTCTTGCTTTCAAGTCATTTCTACTGTCCTCTGTTTTCCTCAAGCATTTTGTTGTTTTTAATAGAATACGCTCTGCATTCATTGTCGATGGAATTTTCAGAATGAGCTGATGCGAACCCAAAATAAGATATCATTTTAGGATTTTTTGCTAACTTTCATTTTCGGGGCCTAATAAGTTGTCAAGAAATAAATGTTGTTTCTCTGTTGGTGACGCATGCATCTGTTGAAGGAGTCATCCATTAATGATGAGGCAAAGTTCCTGGCAGTAAGGCTTGAGAAACCAAAAACATGAAACATGAACCTTTGAAGCAAAATCACCCACTTCTTCAGAAAAAAAGAGTTCTCTTCCATTGTACAAAGGATCCTGCAGCCCAAAACCATTGCTGATTCATTAATAATCGAAGAGGCTTCAACACTTGCCATCTCTGCGGTCTGCCAATGCAAAATTAAAACACAGAAGAAGGAGCTAGCCATGCATGTGTCCAGTGATCTCTGCTATGACGAAAAACTGAAGCCCTTGTTCATCAATGACCACACTGTCAGAAACATATTATTCTAATTCGCCGATGAGCTCCGTGATATGACAATATTAATCTCCAAGACATCTTAGTTTGGTATGACATATCCTCACTCTTTATTACCTTTACCAAAATACGTACCTGTAGATACAGGTAATTGTAAGACCACAAAAAGAGCCTTTGAAAATGATTGTAGTTCAAGAAAGAACTGCAGTACCAAACATCAAGACTTGCCATTAAAAATTGGCTACAGTGGAACCTCGATTTAACCAACCTCATATAACGAAGTCCTCGGTATAACAGACGATTTTCATCGGCCTGGCCAAAATTGCAGTAAAATGTATGGAACAGAACCTTGATTTAACGAAATCCTCGTTATAACGAACAAAATCCCCAAGTGTAAATGTAAAATGTACCTCGATATAACGAATAAATCTCATATGTGATAAAAGATGAATGCCAAACAGACCAACAAGCTACTTGTAGGATAAAATTTATGTGGCAGTAGTTTTAAGGTGATTCCCTAGTAAAAGAACCTAACATAGATTGCAGATGAAACTTTGTACACTGATGTAACAAGTCAAGAAGATGATAAAAAAGTAATAAAAAGTGGGGGTCACCGTGCTCGTTTTGACGTCACAATGCTGACAAATACGGCTATTTTGGACCCTTTGACAAAAAGCGCGCGCAGCCCAAAACTAGGCAAAAAGGAAATATTTTTTCAATGATGCATGGGGTATGGCACAGAATTTGACTTTAATGTATTGTTTATCCACTTACGTACTAGAAAAATGCCTTTTAATTCCTTTATTTTTACTTTACGCTCACACGCGCTATTCGACACGTGATAGCTCAATCCGTACAATTTAGTAAAATTGCCAAAAAACTGAACATAGAATTGTGCCAGTTTTTTTCTCACCGAAAGAAAGCACTGTCCTTATTAAAATCATGAAATAAAAAATGGGGGTCGCCGTACTCGTTTTTGCGGTAGAGCTGCAGAAAGTGCGCACCAAATGCATTTTCCTTGATTTTTGAGAGAGGACTGGGGCGAGTTTCAAAATAGAATGTATGCGAAAGGGGGAAGAAAGTATTAAAAAATCCGTTTTTACAGAATTTACATCGAGATATCACATTTAGGACACAATGTGGTAAAGAAAGCGTTTAAATGAAAATCAAAGTGAATAAGCACAAATTAAACATCCACTATCGAGGTTCTCCGTGAGGAAGTCGAACTCAGCAACACGCGTACTGCTCACGTTATGCACATTCCCACCACATTGAGTCTCACCTCGGCAAGAAACAACCGGAAGCAAAAATTGCAATAGCGTTTCTCTTCGGTCAACTTCATTTTAATAACGTTACTTCACATGCTCTTTTTTACGGAGGCCATCTTGTTATGCGCAGTAAGAGATGCGCAGTGCAAAACCAAGGAATCACCTTAAGCAGTTTTGTTTGCCTATTTTTGAGTTTTTAGTGCCAAAACTATGTATAGCTCATTACTGAAATGTTATTACAGTAATTTTTCAGATCCGGAAATGCTGGGTTTCGTAAATTGACAATTAACTATACGTGTACCTCCATAATAACGAACATTTTGGTAGTTTTCCCAAAAATTCGATAATTGAACAAATTTCCCAAGTCCCCTATTGGCACTTTGTTAAATCGAGGTTCCACTGATTTCCGTTCGAAGGAAACCTGTATGAGTAGGTTGAAAGTTTAACATCGAGAAACAGCTAGAAACAAAAAATAAGTTGCCTGCTTTTTACAAACGCAGTGTCGATGATATGCTTAGCGCAATGCCTGATGTTGAAACAGCCTCTGATAGTCCCTGATGATGCTAAACGACATTCATCCTTCTATCAATTTCACAATGGAGGTTTAAGTTAATGGCAGTCTCTTCTTTCTGGGAATGGACATAATCAGGAATCGATGCCAGTTGGACACAAACGTGTACAGGAAGTCAAACAACGGACACTGCAGGTCACTGTTTCTTTACCACAGCTACGTGGATGGTATATAAATGGCGTGAAGTCTACCATCTGCCAGTTTAAGTGTCAGATGATTACTAACACAACAAAAAGTTGTTGACAAGAATGAAGCCCCAATCACGATTTTGCTGCCTTTCAAACACCAGAAATCTACAACGGAGTATGCAGACAACTTGGAGAGCTTAGTTGGAAGATCAGTGCAACTATCATCCTGGTGAACACAGGTTGAAAGAACAGGGATGAAATCAAAGTGAGGGAAGACAAGCCACCCCTTGTGAATCAAAAATATGTGTGTGTATCATTTTCAATATAACCTGTTTGTTATAGGTTATGTGGGTTGCACTTGCCAGCACCTTCTAGCAGTGAATTGAAGAACACAAGGGATGTGCAATAGGAAGCCAACTGATCGAGGGATCAGCACGTTATTATGTCCCCAAATGACATTGCACAAATGTTAACGACTCCGGTGGTTGAGCCGCTGTCCATCCTCGTAAGTAACTGATCAATAAACTGTACAGAGGCTGTAACAGTGGAGGATTTCAGTCTGAAACCAAACTTTTTTGAGGAGATTAAATAAAATATTATTCTCTGTCAGGTATCCAGAAAATTAGGTATGGACGGCTCTTTCTAAGATCTTGCTCAAGTCAAAGTGGACAAGATGAAGATTGGTCTACAAAATGATGCATGGATCTCGTCTATCACCTTTCTCATGCAGTGGTACAACCCTCGCATTTTTCCAAGTAGAGGGAAAAGTCCCTGTCCGTAACGATAGGTTGAACGACATAGTCAAGGAGGAGGCAACAGCGTGTACATGTAGAATTATTGACTTTTGGTACAAACTCGTGCTAAGTTCATAATTTTTTATACTGATAGTTTCATTTCTCAAGTATGTTAAAGATATTTGCTTCCAATCTGTGTGGGCTTTAAATTCCCAGTTGTAAATTTGCTCTTACTAGAATTTAAGTAGATTTTAGTGGAGCTCTCGCGCAGCGGAGCACCATGGGTAAGAAAATGTGGTAAAATAACTCAGTCAACAGGTATGGCAACCCAAATGCAACTCGCGGTTTTTTTGACGGGAAATCGGATAGCCACCCGCGTCCTGTGAAGCAGAGACAACTAAAGAGTCAATGAAGACGAAAACGGAAAGTTAAAATTGTCTCTGTATCCATGTTTTCTAAAGTATTAAGCTTTATTTAGATTAATTCTCATGTTCACAAATTTGGAATATGGAGTAAGAGAAAGACAGAGAAAAAGAGAAAATAGGCGGCAGGCCAGCGAAGCTCAACGAGAAAAAGGGCGACGGAGATCTAGAGCGAGAGATAAAAACAAAGGAGGCATTTTTTTTGTCGGAAGAACAACATGAAAATTTTGTAGCGGCGGTGACAAAATGATAAATGCTAGCGGCCACCAACGCAAGGTGAAAAGGAGCTGCAGTGAAAAAAAGTGAACAAGAAAACGTAAGACATTTCCTCCATAAAACGTGTAACTAAGACGTTTCTGTAAGTTTCACGTTGTAGTCGTGCAATACAGCGACAAATAAATGTAAAAAACAAGTGTGCTGCACGTGCAAAGTTGCTTTTTTGCTAATTAGACCTATTGTTGTTTTTCACCGTTCTCCGGCGTTGCCTTCGCCGCTTAGCATTGCACTATTTTATATTTTGTTTGAACAAACTATAAATATTATCGAGAGCTTCGCTTTTAACCCTTGCTAAATCTCATATATTATAGCCATCGCTTAGGTACTGAGATTACCTGTGTTTCACCTTTAGGTTAATAGACTGGAGATTTGTGTCATCCCAAGCAAACATGAACCACCGGTTTATGAGAGAACTGGAAGACGTTGAAAAAGAAAACTCTGGCTTTTTGATTCTGAAGCATTGCCCTGATGATGTCAACAATGTCAACAAAAGGTGCAAGGGTGCAGTGACCTATGATTATCCNACAGAGAAAAAGAGAAAATAGGCGGCAGGCCAGCGAAGCTCAACGAGAAAAAGGGCGACGGAGATCTAGAGCGAGAGATAAAAACAAAGGAGGCATTTTTTTTGTCGGAAGAACAACATGAAAATTTTGTAGCGGCGGTGACAAAATGATAAATGCTAGCGGCCACCAACGCAAGGTGAAAAGGAGCTGCAGTGAAAAAAAGTGAACAAGAAAACGTAAGACATTTCCTCCATAAAACGTGTAACTAAGACGTTTCTGTAAGTTTCACGTTGTAGTCGTGCAATACAGCGACAAATAAATGTAAAAAACAAGTGTGCTGCACGTGCAAAGTTGCTTTTTTGCTAATTAGACCTATTGTTGTTTTTCACCGTTCTCCGGCGTTGCCTTCGCCGCTTAGCATTGCACTATTTTATATTTTGTTTGAACAAACTATAAATATTATCGAGAGCTTCGCTTTTAACCCTTGCTAAATCTCATATATTATAGCCATCGCTTAGGTACTGAGATTACCTGTGTTTCACCTTTAGGTTAATAGACTGGAGATTTGTGTCATCCCAAGCAAACATGAACCACCGGTTTATGAGAGAACTGGAAGACGTTGAAAAAGAAAACTCTGGCTTTTTGATTCTGAAGCATTGCCCTGATGATGTCAACAATGTCAACAAAAGGTGCAAGGGTGCAGTGACCTATGATTATCCAGATATTTTACAGGTTAATTATCTGCCTCTTTTCTAAAAGTGTATTCTATTTATAAAAGCTTTTATCATTTAGTTACAGGTCTGGTAAATGTTAGCCTTTTTTACAGTCTTCTGAGTTGCAGAAAGGGCCATTTTTAATTGATTTTCGTTCTCTTCCATTTAATGTACTCCTTCCGCTTATCTTGTGGGTATAACGCCAGGGTGACTGGCCATGGGACCTGATTAGAAAACTTGCCCACTGCATATTCCACAGGCTTTGGAAAAGCGTCTTTAGTTTTCGGGCAAACAGTATTTTGAAATTAGATGGGGATTTTATATCAAACTGAAAGTTTCCCGACTGCGTGCATAGCCACACAAGCCGTGATTGAAACAATAGCCGTCGTGTACGAACTCATGAGAAGAACTCAGGAGAAACTGTTCGCTGATTTGGCACAATAATACAAAGCATTTTTTGTGCCCAATCAGGAGCCGGCATCCGGTTGAATTTTTGGAAATAGTTCGGTGAGAGTCGGTACCCAGGGGCTCTTTTGCCCGTACTTGAAAACTTTCGTCCCGCCTTTTCTCCCGACCCGACTGACTGCCCCTGGGTCTCCGAGGATGAACATATTCCAAAATGACGGCAACACTACCTTTTTTGTGTGCCTCAATTTCACTTGCACAAATTGCAAAATAAATTTTAACTTGAAGTGAGGCATGAAGATGGAATTATCATAAAGAAAAAAAGTTTAAAAAATTGTGCCATTTTGGAATAAGATGTACGTATTTGTTTGTGTTTTTGTTGACCATGCGGGTCTGTTGGGTATTTCAAAATGAGTGACTGAGCATGCTGCTTTCTGAAGTAGTGACAGTGGAATCCCGCCTTACAGCCACCTCGGTATTATGGTCACCTCATTACTACGGCCAATAAATATCCTGAAGAATAATCGACCGTCGATAAAGTAGGATGTGAAAAGTGAAGAAATCCTGTTTCGTGTAGAATTAATGGCCTCCTCATTTGTTATCTAATCTCCAAGGAAGCGAGATAACGCTTTTAAGAGCATTGTTGTGTTTTTAATCCCTCAAGGTGAAAACTGTTGTTCCCTGTTTGGCTTCCAGGTGGGGATTTATCTTTCAAAAACCGTCTGTGATAACTACAAAACAGCATTTTCTTTTGCAACAAATTACAGCAACATTTGCATAGTCCTTAGAAGTAATACGCAATGGAGGCTCCCTTGCGCGCGCACCCAGTTCTTTCTTGTGCCCATTACTATGGAGTCCTCCATGACTCTTAAAACCTCTGATATATATATGAACACTTTTTTGAGCTTTCTAATTTTTGCAACTCTAGTCTGCTACAGCTTTACCTATGGATTCCAAATTTAAGTAGTAAAGTAGGCTCATACATTTTGTATTTTACAACTGCACAAAGAATCAACAGGCTGTATTGAATGTATATGTTAACATACAGAAACTACTGTTAAAGCACCACAAGCTTATTCAGGCCAAACATTGAATTCTTGAGTCTTTTTTTCCTTTACCCTCCCAAGGCAAAGAGGTGCGATATTTATTTCTCTTTAGGGATTAATGCCTCAGCAGTTTGGGTTGTGTCCCATTGATATCTTGGGTTGTCCAGGACTTCCAGACAACCGTTAATTTCAAGCCATGTTGTAGAAAGGGATAAATTGGATTCCCAGGGAATATATTTTGGATAAAACACTAAAAAAAAAACAATGGCCTATGGCTTTGTGTTGGAAGTGACTGGTGAGATGATCAACATTGTTCTCTCTTAAAACCTTTTGCAATGCCTTGCTAAGATTGCATGGAGGGTTTGTGTACCCTGCCAGGTCAGTTAAATTAACTTTTACTATCCAAAACTGGAGTGTAGGCACACTGGAAAATTGAGAAAGGGTTTTTTGAATGTGGGCGAGGTTAAGAACTGTTTTTTTTCTTTTTTCGCTGTAGCGCAATGTTAATTATTTAAATAAAATTAGATGTTTGCTTATTCCTGTGATAGCATGCCGAGTTCTGTCTAGTGATACGTGGAGTCAGGTTGGGTCAGTCAACACTGTTAGATGCATTGATGATGGTAAGACTGTAAGCCTTTAAAGCACACTTACTAGGTAGTGACAAACTGAAATCCATTCAAAATCCTAAATTTGCTATTGCCTTCTGTAATCGATATTTAAGTTCTGTTCAAGAAGAATCACTTGAATGGTCACAATGTACAATTTTGTTTGTAAAATTCAAATCATGTTTACTTAACAGCTGTCACTAAATAGCCCTTTGCACTAATGATGTCACAAATTTCTGGTTCCTGGTGTGACTCAGACATCTTGAAAATAATTAATTTAAACATGGAAATAACTTTAGATGAGTGATGTTATCCCTAATGTAGTATCATTACTGTGAGCACAATTTGTTACGGCATTCCGCTAAGAAAATGTACCGAGAGCAGGGCCCGGAGCAGGACAGCAAAGTTGTTCGTAAAAGGGCACATTTGGTTACAAATCATGCAATTACAAGGAATGATCAATATTTTTAGTGCAAAGGCAATACTTGTTCACTATTATATGGGTATCAGAGTTCAAAATAGCAGCTGGCAGCCCGGCACTTTGACCATACGAGCTGGCGACTTTTCACCCAAGAAATAGAAAATGTCATGCTAAAATTGAAGTTGTCTCATATCAGACAATAAAGCAGCCAAAAAACGTTTTAAAGGGCTTTTTGGAAAAATGAGTAGATAAAGGTTTGGAAATTTCAAGCGTGTTGCAAAAGTTGAAAAGGAGAATTCTTGTTCACCGTGAACATGCAACTAATTCTTTTACGCGTTTGTTCAAGGGTGAGACATGCAAGTTTGCGCTAGACAAACTGTTGCGTTACCGCCTTTGTGTTTCTGCAAGTGTAATCAAGATTTAGTTTGCACAAAAACCTGTTTAGTGCCGTTTTTGATTGAGAAGCCTTTTCACTCATGCAAATGAAAGTCAGTTTTGTATTCATATTGCTCGACAGAACAGATTTCCCATGTTTGTTCTCCGCCAGGGGTTCTCCGCCCTGGTTTGTGAGTGAAGAAATAATAATTTCTAATAATGATGCACTATTGATGGGACGTGCTCATTCATTATTGACAGCTGAGAATAATAAACCCTGACATAAAAAGTCTACAGATTCGGGCTAAATGCTGTGATTTATTTTGAACCTTGGATATCAAAATACTGTATGATGTGAAGTATATATGAAATAATTCATTTTTGAACTGCGGTTGTAGATGAAAGTGAAGAATGGTCATCGCAGTAAATTTTCCAATTTAAGCAATTAGAAAGAAGAAGCCTGAAAAAAATCAGGGCTTCAACGGGATTCGAACCTCGCTCCCAATGTGTGGCTTCATAGCTCAGTTGGTAGAGCAACGCACTGGTAACGCGGAGGTCACGGGTTCGAAATCCCGTTGAAGCCCAGATTTTTTTTTTCAGGCTTCTTCTTTCCAATTGCTTAAATTGGAAAATTTACTGCGATGATCATTCTTCACTTTCTTAAAATACTGTATGGGACCTACAGTGTACTGGCCGCGCAACCAAACGTGATTTATACAATTTCCTGTTTGTGCTCATGTTGGTGTGCTTTTAACAGCTTTGAAATTCTGCCACAGATCCGATTTCAAACGCCTAGTTTGATCAGGTCGCTTTATTTTCTGATTTTTAAGATTGATTTCAGTTAATTATACCAGGTTGTGCTCCCTATATCAGTAATGCCTTATTGGAATAAGGTTCAAAATACAAATTTAAAACATTCATTGCTGGAAGTGCATGTTGTTCATACAAAACCCAGTAGAATGCAAACATTGTCTGCGGCACGTGTGTGTTCTTAACTTTCAGAAAACCTACTTCTAGTAATAGTGCAAAGCGCTGTTCCTTTGTCAGTATTGATGTATGAAGTATTGTTGTGTTGGTATTAATAGTAGCATTACAAGGGCTAAGCTCATGTATTGACAGAGTGATTTTATCTTTATATATTTTAGGGGTGTATCCCTGTTATTGTCAGTGATGATTACGTTTTACCTTTTTCTGATGTGTTAGATTGGAAAAGGTCAGTTGCAGTTTATTTATTTGGTATTTTTGATAGGCATTTCATTATTTTTACCTATATAAATTTTACAAGTGTGTATTTAATGATTATCTTTTCCAAGTATGGCGTACTATAATTATTAAAGCAATAGAGAGCTTTCACTGAAAAAAACTACAGCATGATGTTGTCACTCAACATCATGCTCTAGTTTTTTTCAGTGAAAGCTCTCTATTGCTTTTATCCGAGACAGTTATGCAAACCGAAGATGAGTTCAAGGGATTGCATAGTTCTCGAGAATTCTCCTGACCCTGTGACTGTTTACACATACCACACTATGCACGAACGACAAAAGGGAACTACTTTAAAAATTTTTAAAGTAACTCCTTAAGTGAAAGCTATTTGGCAGAGATTATGGGCCGTTTTATTCCCAGCATGGGAAAATATTTATTACAAAGCTGTAATGCTGTCTCAAATTCCAATTTAAATTTGTTTCACTATTCAACTTTTTTTTTTTTCGTCAACAAAGAGAGGCAAGACTCTTTGCTAACGCATAAGGGTGCTGGATAAAATAGAATTCTTACAAGGCTTGAAGTGTTGTACGCAAAGTTTTGCATGCATAGCCAGCTCTTGTTTTTCAGAAGTTGTAATTACAAAACAGATTTTCATTTTTGCAGTGATTTTTCAATTTTGAACTGTTGAAGAAATGGGTAAATAAAATAAACATGTCAAAAAGTTTAATTAACGCCCGCGTCGCAAGTGGAGGTTGGGTACCCATGGGCCAGGGGGCTGCAACCGCAATCAAACCCCAAGGCGGAAGAACACCCACAGGCTTACCAACCAGCAAGCCCAACACGAGCCCCAGCCCCCCACTACGGCACCCATCACACTGAGGCCAGAAGCCCAGTGGAAGTAAAATGAACACACCCCTGAAACAAAGAAAAAAACCGGGACGGAGGGAGACCCTAAACCAAGAAAGCGGAGGCAGGGAGGGCAACCAAGAGAAACGCTACGCTACTACAATGCCACGCCATGCTAACAAAGCTTCGAGTACAATGCAAACACAACGTAGGCACATGGCCTGCGCATGCGCTGAAGCGACATACCGCTGGACAGGAATCTGTCCCCAAGCTCACGAACAATGGTAAACGCTACAAACGCAAACATAGTCACGCAACAGCGCTACAGATGGCTAAAACGCCACCAAAGAATGCCAAAACACTAGAGACCATAGCTCCCAGTCGTTAATTACATTAAATATGATTTAATAGTATTTTAAAAACATTTTTGTTGCTTAATTAGTGGACAGCAAGACGTGATGATGCCACAACTGTGTTTACATACTGTCATGTCATTCATACTGTCACTCACCTCTCAGCCAATCAGAGCATGAGATCAAAACACAAATTAAATTTTGTAAGCTCTATAAATTGAAGTTGATGTGGTTATTTTTATGAGGGTGTTGACAACAATGCCATAGTATAGTACTTACAAGGAGTGTGAAGACTGCTTACACTGTAAGTATTTTCGAATACTCGTGAATGTACTATTATTGCTATTATAAAAATCACGCCAGGCAAAACATACCAACAATCACGTGGGTACAGCTATTTATTTTTTATTTACGTAATGAACATATAATACGTGCAGTTTAAATGCAAACTGGTGTACACAGTGCATCAACTCTATTAAATTTAACCTTAGCTTGCATATGCTAAGTGTAAAGCTGAAACAGCAGAAAGTATATTACGGAGTTCATTTTACTAAATAGATAGCTTAAACGAAATTTTTATTGTTTGTAGGGCTGCAGTTCAAGTTGTGGAAAAGGAGATCAAACGCATCCCAGCCATTCTAAAGGAAATCCCAGGAAGACAAGTCACAGACATGAGACGACAGGTAGGTAAAATAGTTCATCGGAAAGAAGTACCAATTCCAGGGTTGAGGAGAACTTGTAATTAGAGGATTAATGCTTGTGACCCTGCAATAACAAACGATGTTATTCTTATCAAAACTTTATTTGTCAAAGTCCAATGATAATATCAGAGGTTCTTTCCATTTCACTTGATCAACAAATAGTCTATCAGAATGACATGAACAAAACATGGTAATTGTCCGCCATCTTGAAAAACGTCCGACGTTATACCGCTGACCTCGTGATAAGGCATCACAAAAATCAACCCATAGGGGGGGGGGGCTTAGGCCCTAATTATTGTATTTTAGAATAAATTGAATAAATGTCTATCGAAAACTGACCAATGTGGCTCAAAACGTGAAGAAAGTGGCTTCAAAGAACCTCAAAAAGCCCAAAGTTGGCGAAAATTCTAAAAGTTGCCAAAATTCTAAAAAGTTGCCGAAAATCTCAAAAGTTGCCGAGCAACTTGTGGCTAAGCCTACCCTAAACCATATAAACTCTTAATTTTTTTCACCATTTCAGTGATATTCCTAAAAATGGGCAAACACAGTGATTTTCGAATTAGTTCCTTCCAAGTAGTAGATGCATGACGAATTTTACAGAATAAAAAAACTGAACATTTTTAAAGAGTTTATATGGTTTTGGGGGACGCTGTCACAAAATTATAGACGTATATATGATATACGATGGTGTCAGTTTATCGATTAGTGGAAATTTGAAACTCGCCCCAGTTCCCTACGTAACTCTGAAATGGCTAATTAAGTTTATAACTTAAATCCCAGAAAACTTCGCACCAACAAAGTTACTGCCGAAATCACAAGGCGGCTCTAAATGTAAACCGCAATGATTCTTCATTCGTAGTTCAATTTAACAATTCATAATTTCGAATACAAGGGCAATTTTGCTGTTTACGATAGAGATTGTCAAAATTTTTGAGCTCCACGCAAGCATGCCAGGCATACGATCCGCGTATCAAACCGACAATCAAACCGACAATCCTGCTAAAGTTCCTCATAATTATACATAATTATGCGAATGTTTTGACAATCAACCTATCAAAATTACTACCCGGTGTTCGGGTGGTGACGTCACTGGACGGCATTAACGGCCAGTCGATTCAGACGTTGCTTAGAGGAGAAAACGACTCGAAGTGATCATCTGAAATTCAGGCTACTCCTTGTTTTCAGGACTGGAATGCTCCTTTCTTTAGCTCCAAGGAAACCGCAACAGTGAGTTTAAGAGTCAATGTTGTCTCAGAAGCTTTTTGCCCATTTGTAACCATTTAAACCTGGATATAGAAAGTTTAAGACAAGTCACAGACATGAGACGACAGGTAGGTAAAATAGTTCATCGGAAAGAAGTACCAATTCCAGGGTTGAGGAGAACTTGTAATTAGAGGATTAATGCTTGTGACCCTGCAATAACAAACGATGTTAGTAAATCATCATCTCTTATTTCGTTTCCTTGTTAGCACCTTGTTTGCTGGTGCAAAGCAGCCATGATTCTTAATCTAAACAGCTGTTTTTTCTCTTTCAGGGAAAATGGTTTTGGGACAGGTATTTCAGCTCCATGGGAAAGATAGCTCTTGCTACCTTAAGAGTTTTAAATGACAGAGTGTACCATTACTCTGCTTGGCAGTATGAAGTAAGCACTACACTGATTTGTAGGTTTTGCTATTTTTCTATTACATGTAGTAAATGCACTAAGGAATGAACAAATTAATGTAACTCAAGAGGAACCAGGAGTTTCACATGCTTTTTCATTTAGCTTGTTAAAAGTATACATATAATAGCCAATGCACTACACATTCTAGACCAGTGCAGCATCAAATCAGTACCAGGCACTCTCATTATTTCAAAGCAGACATTCTCTTTAAGGCAGAAATCTAGCCTGGGGCCCATTTCTCGAAAGTCGCAATAACCTTTCAGGCCCAAAAAGATGTTTTATGTTTGCCGTGTTTGCACTCAAGATCAAAGTTTCAATAATTTTGAAAATGGTACAATGAAATTATGCAAGATTGACTGACTTGTGAGCTAGGCACTGTGCTACTATTCAAAAGGTTTTGATTTCAAAATTTGCCTTCAAACCCGAAAAGTTACTGGGCCTTTTTAAACAGGCCCCTGAACTGATACAATTCTAAGGGACTGTCCAGTCTCCACACTTGGTGCCCAGGAACCAGTGCCTGGGTACCAGCACATAATAGTGTTGTGTTCACACCTGAGTACCTGGTAGGTGACTGTGTGCATAGTAACTCCATTTTACCCTGTCAGATGTTATTTTAAAACATGACCTTAACAATGAGTATCTGGGCACCTGATGTGAACACTGCCCAAAAAGACTCACTACCTTGAGAATTCCCAGCTGCTTCTCACTGTTCACGTCCCCTCCCATGGGAATATTTTGGAAGATGTCATTGGCAGTTGTTAGCAGTAGCCAAGTACCTCATCTAACCAAATTAACTTGTCCTCATCATCTAATCATCTAGCCTGAATTTCAGACGATTGATTCGAGTCGTTTTTACTCCCTCAGTAACGTCTGAATCGACTGGCCGTTAATGCCATTCAGTGTCGTCAGTACTCCTTTGCGTTAATTCATGCAAAAAGTAAAACACGATTTTGAACTGGCAAACAAAGAAATATTGTCTGGAAATGTCTACATGATACTTAATTGCTTTACTCTTTTGTATTGTAATTCATGTTTAACGTGTAAACCGTCAATTGTATGCGGTACTCTGAACGAATCTGTTTGTATTCAATAATCAAATTCGATCGCAATCACGCAATGAAATAAGCTTTTAAAAATTACACCCACGGAACACTTCAAAAACAAAACAATTTGCTTTAATTGAAAAGAAGCAATTTGGTCCTTAACAAAGAAGAAAGAAAACAAGAAAGAAAAGCTAATAGAATCATTACACTTGACGGTGGAAATGACGAGAAGGTCGAATTGGCCATTTGGGAGTTGCGTAGGGAACTGAGGCGAGTTTCAAATTTAAACTGATCGATAAACTGACACCACCATATGAAAGGTCATGTTGAGATTGATCATTTGACCAAGTTTGGTGCTCTAAGGTTGAACAGGGATCAAGTTATGACTCTTGAAACATGGTTAAAGAGCCATACAAACCTCTGTAATTTTGTGACAGCGTCCCCCTAAACTAGGCTTAGCCACAAGTTGCCGATGAATCCCCAAAAAGTTGCCGATAAAAGTATCTAAAAGTTGCCAAAAAGTTGCTATTTTTTTCAAAAAGTTGCCAAAATTTTTCTGCTTTTCGTACCTTTTTTGGGTGTTAAAGATTAAAAATTCGCACATTGCTTCTTATCAAAACTTTATTTGTCAAAGTCCAATGATAATATCAGAGGTTCTTTCCATTTCACTTGATCAACAAATAGTCTATCAGAATGACATGAACAAAACATGGTAATTGTCCGCCATCTTGAAAAACGTCCGACGTTATACCGCTGACCTCGTGATAAGGCATCACAAAAATCAACCCATAGGGGGGGGGGGCTTAGGCCCTAATTATTGTATTTTAGAATAAATTGAATAAATGTCTATCGAAAACTGACCAATGTGGCTCAAAACGTGAAGAAAGTGGCTTCAAAGAACCTCAAAAAGCCCAAAGTTGGCGAAAATTCTAAAAGTTGCCAAAATTCTAAAAAGTTGCCGAAAATCTCAAAAGTTGCCGAGCAACTTGTGGCTAAGCCTACCCTAAACCATATAAACTCTTAATTTTTTTCACCATTTCAGTGATATTCCTAAAAATGGGCAAACACAGTGATTTTCGAATTAGTTCCTTCCAAGTAGTAGATGCATGACGAATTTTACAGAATAAAAAAACTGAACATTTTTAAAGAGTTTATATGGTTTTGGGGGACGCTGTCACAAAATTATAGACGTATATATGATATACGATGGTGTCAGTTTATCGATTAGTGGAAATTTGAAACTCGCCCCAGTTCCCTACGTAACTCTGAAATGGCTAATTAAGTTTATAACTTAAATCCCAGAAAACTTCGCACCAACAAAGTTACTGCCGAAATCACAAGGCGGCTCTAAATGTAAACCGCAATGATTCTTCATTCGTAGTTCAATTTAACAATTCATAATTTCGAATACAAGGGCAATTTTGCTGTTTACGATAGAGATTGTCAAAATTTTTGAGCTCCACGCAAGCATGCCAGGCATACGATCCGCGTATCAAACCGACAATCAAACCGACAATCCTGCTAAAGTTCCTCATAATTATACATAATTATGCGAATGTTTTGACAATCAACCTATCAAAATTACTACCCGGTGTTCGGGTGGTGACGTCACTGGACGGCATTAACGGCCAGTCGATTCAGACGTTGCTTAGAGGAGAAAACGACTCGAAGTGATCATCTGAAATTCAGGCTACTCCTTGTTTTCAGGACTGGAATGCTCCTTTCTTTAGCTCCAAGGAAACCGCAACAGTGAGTTTAAGAGTCAATGTTGTCTCAGAAGCTTTTTGCCCATTTGTAACCATTTAAACCTGGATATAGAAAGTTTCTTACTGGACAGTAACTTGATGCGATTTTTGTTGACAGTCTCACCTTGTACCTCCACTGTTTTTTCCTCTGCGTCCTTACAACAGTCAAGGATTTACTGCTGTTGTTCTGTGTTATGACCGAGTAGACACCATGTTTAAGGTCATCACCAAAATTGCTGATACTCCCAGCTTAACAAAGGTACAGTTTAAGACCGCATGCTAACATGCTTTTTTTTTTTCCCTGTGGAAACCGGTCTCACGCCATTTCAAACTTTCATCTCCTGCATCAACTCAAATAGCATACCTTTAATGACCTACTAAACGCCCGGTACGTTTATTTAATTTATTTAATCCAAGGTGGGGCGTTTAATGGTTAGGAGGTGTTTAAAAGAGAGGCGATTAATGATTATAACTGTAACAAGCTCAACAAAACTAATATGCCCTCGGCAAAAATATCAACAGAGTTTAAAAATAGCGGAATATCCACTCCATCAATTGATGCGTCAAGGCCGGAGTCTAGATCAATTTCGCTCTTTCATACCCCAACATCGACGTGAGAATCCTTGCTCAGCATTATGGTTTTGCCGTTGTTAGTGTATCCTTGCTTTGAACTTGGCAGTGAGCAAAATGAAATGCGCAAAGCCAAGCAAAAAACTGAATGAATTGAATGATTTTGCTCCTTTTTACTAATTCCTAGTATCTTCGCGTAATTCTCTTAGGGGACGACTGTCAGAGAGAGGCGTCCAATTAAATACAATTTTAACATCGTAGAGGGGGCGTTTATTAGATAAGAGGCATTTATTTGGAAGTAGGCGTTTATTAGGTCATTTACGGTAGTTGTTTGCCAATGTTTTAATTCCACGCAAGCCATGTACATAATCCATATTTTCTCCCCTTTTGACAATGCATTTTTCATATAGAATAATATATATATTTAGCCAGGGCTAAAATATTTATAATCATATACCTTATTATAGGAAATTAACGCGAATCGTTAAAATTCGCGTTAGTTTAAGTCGCGTTAATTTTGTTGAGCGTTAATTTCGGCGACGTTAATTAAGTGCAGAGTTAATCTCCGCGCTCTTAATTTCCAGTATTTTAACCCCAATTTTGGAACCTGTCCGGACACTCTTGACACCTAAGAAAAACATTAACTACAAGCTTTCTTTCTTTCTATTTACCCTTTATTTTTCATCTTTCACAAAAGCGAAGGCGAAGGTTTACAATATTTAGAGTTCATCTTCATCGTTGTCGCTGTCAAAAGTTATGTTTGATTTTGGTCAAGATAATCGCGTTAATTTCCTTTCCCTTCCCTACCTCCTCTTTGCGTTAATTTTCTTTATTCCAAAGTCGTTTTCCATTAAATTCGCGTTAATTTAAGTGGCGTTAATTTCCAATACCTTAATTTCATGGAGCGTTAATTTCCTGTAATAAGGTAGTAGATAATATTTATAGTTCGTTCAAACAAAATAAATCGTTTATTGCTAAGCGGCGAAGGCAACACCGTAGAACGGTGAAAAACAACAATACGTTTAATTACCAAAACAACCAACTGTGCACGTGCAGTAAACTTTTTTGTACATTTCTTTGTCGTTGTTTTCCACGACTACAGCGTCAAACGTCCAGAAAATTTTCTTAGTTACACTTTTAATGGAGGAAATGTCGTACGTGTTTTCGTTCACTTTTTTTCACCGCCGCTCATTTTCACCTTGTATTTGATTATTGGCCGCTCGCATTTTGTCACCGCCGCTACCAACAAAAAAAAAACGTCTCCTTTTTTTATGTCTCGCTCTATATCTCTGTCGCCCTTTTTCTCGTTGAGCTTCGCTGGCGTGCCGCCTTCTTCTCTTTTTCTCTGTCTTTCTCTTTCTTTACATTCCAAATTTGTGGTCATGACAATTAAGCTTAATACTTAAGACAACGCGGATACAGAAACAATTTCTGCTTTCCGTTTTCGTCTTTATTGACTCTTTAGCTGTCTCTACTTTACAGGACGCCGGTGGCTATGCGATTTCCCGCCAAAATAACCTCGAGTTGCATTTGGGTTGCCACACCTGTTGATTGAGTTATTTTACATTGGTTTGCCTGTGGTGCAGGCGGGCAGGCGGGCGGGCCTACGGTCACGTGATTACCAAACTTTCTCGGATGGGTAGATTACAGGGTTTTCCCTCGATATTTTCCTTTCGTAGTCCCTAAGATTCCTTTAACCCAAGGTTGAGGGTCCCAGAGGGAACAGTGGAAGTCCTAAGGTTAGCATTGTTTCAAATTCCAGGAAATCTTTGAAACATTTTCGGGTTTCTTGTTAAAAAGAGAAGCATCACTACAACCGTTCGCAGCCTAAAGTTCCGTTATTGGAATTTATCAGCAGCATGTTGTTCTTAGTCATAAGATACACTTTTTTATGCTGAACAATGTGCCTGCCTGTAATTTCCAGGGTTTGATTGTCGATGTTCTTCTTTGCATTTGAAACTGTCGCTTGAAAGCTTTTTCTAAGCTTCAGGTCTGTGATACTCAAAATGTGGTCTTTAGAATTTTGGTGCCTTTCCAGGGCCAACTTCTGAAGATTATTATAGCTTACGATTGTGAAAGGGTTTCTTTTACCTGTTGACTTACAGATATCGCAACCATGTAAATTCTTTCAACCAAACAGGCAGAAAACGCCTCTTTTTCTTAACGGGCTCATTGGGCTGTGATTCCAAATCCGCCATGTTTTTTCAACTCACTTTCTGTCCCAGAATGCCTCACAATAAAACATTAGTTCCCAAACCTCTTCAAGGAGTGTCAAATGTGGTTCCCCGATCGGAACATCAAAAAAGTAAGCTTGAGAACCTTTCAAAGTTAGTATGGCTCTTCCTAGTTTTAAAACAAAGGTCAGACAAAAAAAGAAGATTAAAAGGTCTTTATATTTCATTCTCAAAAAAAGATTTTTTGCAGATCTACGCAGTTCTAAACTAATTATTAGTAGACTATCGCTCTAGAACATGTGCGTCCTAGAGGAACGGTTCTCTTTGGTGTTTTGCGTCCTTTTTTTCTTTTTCGGCTAAACATCGCGTCCTCTAAAGCGTATTTGCGCGTAAGGGAAAACCCTGAATTGATTACTTCATTTTCTTACCCATGGTGCTCCGCTGCACACGAGAGCCCCGCTAATATCCCTCAAACGCTGGGTTGCGGGTTGTAGTCATTTACTTTTCTGTAAGTAAAGAAGAACTAATGACAAAATATCCTGTTGTCTATTGGGTAAGAAAAGGTTAATATAATTATATATAAATATAAATACTAAGTCTACCAGTTTCCCAAGCAAAAAATCCACAAGACAATGGCACTAAAGTATTTTTACCTCTTTTGCAGATTGTTGTTGTGTGGAACAACGTCAAGAAAGCTCCACCGTCTGGTAACATAACGATTATTTCCTTTTTTTATTATGGCAATGATATACCATCTTTTGATTGTCGCAGCACAAGGCACTCTAGGACTCTAGGGGCTGTTTACATAGAGGTGGGGAACCCCAGGTAGGTGAAGTAACCCGCTTATGTGTGGTAACCTGCTTGTCCATATAATTAAGCAGTAGAAAACGTTTTCCGTGTTTGCATAGCCTGATATAAACACTAGAGGGGTTGGGGGAATTCGTGACAGTTATGCAAACCCGAGACGAAGTCGAGGGTTTGCATAACTGTCGAGAATTCTCCCAACGCCTCGAGTGTTTATATCAGGCTATGCAAACACGGAAAACGTTTTCTACTGCTTAATTATATGTACAAACAGGTTACCACACATAAGCCGGTTACTTCACCTACCTGGGGTTCCCCACCTTTGCTTTTATAAAATAACTTGCCCGACAAAAAAACCCAAAACTTCTTTGTATGGCACTGATTAAAAGAGAAATTCTTACCAGTCGCAAAATCTTGTCCACGAAGTCTTGCACGCGTAATCAGTTCTTGTTTTGCCAAAAGATGCTTTGCAAAATACGGATTTTTCTCGCTTAAAATGTCAGCTTAAGCGAAGAAAAATTGAGTCACCTTCTTTGTAACAATTTTCCATGTTTCAGCCGACGAAGGAAGGGTAAATAAAGTAAACTTGTCGAGTTTTGAACTCGAAAACTTTTTCAAATTCGTGCTTGCGTGATTAGCGCGCGAAAAGCCAAACAACTTGATGTTTACATACTCTCATGCAAACGTTCCTCTCGGCCAATCAGAGCGCGCGTACTATCTTAGTTATTTTATAATCTTTCATATTAATGTGATCCCGTTTACATGATAAGTGGGGTGACCATATGAGAGATATTACCCCACCTAAGTGGGTTACCTCACCTACCTAGGCTACCCTTTCTCCTTGTGAACTGTCCCTTAGTCGACTTGCTAATCTTAGCAGCAAGCAGTCGCATGTTATTTGTCTAGTAAATTGCACAGAAGAGCTTGCGGCGATTCTCTTTTTAGCTCAGTCACCTTCACTGTCCCACTGATGTCACTGATATGATGGTTTTCTTTTCGTTCCTTTTCTTTTTTGCGGGGGTGAGGAAAACTTTGAAATGTACTTGTGACGAGTGGAAAAATTGCCAGGTTATGCAGTTTTAACACTTACTCAACAAGAAGGTAGAAGACCGTCGAATTGATTAAAATGTCGAAGTGACCATACAGTCGGCTAGTCACAATTAATTCTTTTCCAACACTTAGGTTTGCCTCGGGTACATGGTACATGTCAGTTAGGGACTAGTCACTGTTGATGATATGGAGGGTTGGGTGGAGCATTTTGTTGCGACAAAATGATCTCCTTTCACAGGATCTTGACTGAAACACCACACGGGTACCCTTATGCAATCACGACCACTAGACTACCCAAGTACAGAAGCTGAAATACGCTCCGCGGCGAAAAAATTAAAGAATGACAAAAACATATTCGGACGAAAATTAATAACAAACGAAATTATTAAAGCTAGCTTACCTATGATGTTGCCTGTTTGCCTTAAACGTTATGAATACTATTCTCAGTCTAGGGACTGTACCAAATATTTGGTACAACGGTATTTATATAACTCCAATATTTAAGTTTGAGTCTGACGCAACAAATGGCCCGTCGAATTACCGCGGAATTGTCTGGGAAAGCTATTCTTTTCAATTTTAAACCAGTCTGTTTGAACATTTCGTCTCTCTGAACACACTTCGTAAATCTCCAATCTGAGATCACATCCTGACCTTACGAACTCTTGTAGACAAGTACGTCGACTGTCATCGAAACAAAATGTACGCTTTTGTTGTTGATCTAAAAAAGACCGTTGACTCCGTTTGGCGTGAAGGGCTCTTACATAAATTACTGCAAATCAGTTTAGGAGGATGTTTCTATAAGTTAAGTTGTTAGATATCAATACTAAAAAGGGCCAAAATTATGATCTTTTAAGAAACGCGCAAAGAAAACCTCAGACCTAGAACAGACCTTTGATATTGTACACGAATACACATATTTAGGAACCAGAAACTCCTCAACTGGTAATTTTGGTGTCTCAAGATTTTAGAACGTGGGATAGCTCGCCAATTGAAAAATTCAATTTACACTTCCGCAAGCGATACTTGGAAGTAAATAATAAGGCGTCTAACGCTGCATGTAGAGGTGATTTAGGTATTTTCATTAATAATTGATATGAATGAAAAACTTATACAACATTATGTAATTTTTTAAGAATGATGAGGACTCTATCGTCAAACAAGTATTACTTGAATCTGTAAATATTCATTCTAACGGCAATACTAGTTTTTATTTTAATACTAGTAGTAACCAAGGGCGAGGTAGTGCGGGCGGACATGTACGTTTACCTTAAAGTGCAATTGATGTTGAGAACGGATTTCATAATAGTGTACGTGAATCAGAGAAAGCCCTTTTAGATGCAGTGTCAACAAAAGGAATCACGGCGGAACATGAACGTCGTTGGAAACTGAATTGAACAACACAGTAAACAAGACTGTTATTAAATTCAACGATTTTATTTACAGTGGCCTAGATAAGAAGAGAAGCGAAGAGAGACGGCTATATTCGCAGGCAAAGGTACAATGAAATAAACATAAACAACACTCAACGTGGACTGTATACAGACATGTCTCTTATTTAAACTGTCAATCAGAGAAATACGCCCGTCACTTAACTATATATGGGAAATAAAAATAATCCTGAAATATTCCCCCGTCTGGATTTCCAGTTCATTGAAATCCGATGCTAGTTCGATGAAAGTACTAGAAACAAAATGAAAGAACACAATTCAAGTGTTTTCAAAAACTGGTCAAAGTCTATGAGAAAGCATAAATGACTAGCGTCTCCAGTGTGCTCATTTAGAGTACTTTAGCATCCAACGGTGAGAGTGTCGTAATTGGTCTGCGCTTCACACTTGCCCCGGTTCTCACGTCCACCACTCTGACTTGTCCATGCTGTCCTAGATACACTGCCTCGATCCGTCCGATCTTCCATTTTCGCCTTGGTGCGTATGGCTCTATCAACAAGACAACATCTCCCACTTTGAGATTCTTGGTAGGTAGAAACTATTTGTGACGGGATCCAAGTGTAGGCAAATATTCCCGCATCCAGCGATTCCATCTATTCCATAGCTTGCGAATCAACTCCTCCCCTCTTCTCCATCGTTTGCGAACAGTGGTTGCTGTTGTGTCAACTGTCTCTGGAGCTAGCTCACCAGCCATTTTGTCCAATTAAGAAATGGTTCGGGGTCAACACTAGTTCATCATTGACACTGACTGTCGTTGAGGGTCTGGAATTCAACAAACTCCCGACTCCTGTAAACACTGTTTGTAACTCCTCGTCGTTAACGTTGGTTTGGCCTAGAACTGCGTAAATTGCTCTCTTGACTGACTTTATCGTGCTTTCGAAAACCCCAGCAAAGTTCGGTGCCCCTTGTGGGTTGAACACTCTAGTTGTGCCGTCTTGATTATTTGTTCCTCTGCTAGTTTAAGTTCCCCTGAGGTCAAATCGCCACTTACTCTATCTTTTTGAGGTTTTCTGATATGTGTAATAAACTGGTTAATCCAGCCGGTCACCCGCACCAACGAGATGCCAATCTCAAGCCTTCCTTTTGACTGGATCCTGTACCACTTTGAAAACTTGTTTGGATCTGGTTGACTCTTCGATTCACTCCCAGAAGTATCTGAGTAGTAACTGTGTGCATTCTTGTTACGATTCTCCTTCTCCAGATTTCGTCCCTTTTTTCTCTGATTTAACTTCCTTGTAAGCTTCTTAGGCTTTTCCCAACTTCCTTTCTGGCCACTTCTCTTTACCTTTCTGTAGAAACTAGGGTCCATGCCACCAGCAGTCGTTCTTTATTAACTCCTGAACTAAGACTCTTCTGGTTCCTTAATCAGCAGGGTTAAGTTTAGTTGGAAAGTACCTCAACTGATCTGGACTTGAATCGTCGTCAACTTCTCCCACCCGACGGGATACAAACGGTTTTGTAGTTTCGGCTCTGTCCCTGAACCCAAAAGCCGACATTTGCGCTGTCCACCCAAAACGTGGCTTGGTACTTATGGGAATACCGAGTGCTCTGCTTATCTGCAGTGTTAATCTGAGACCTGTCAATGTTCCCATTAATTCTAACCGTGGAATACTCATGGCCTTTAGTGGTGCCAACCTTGACTTTGCTGCAACTAAATGTGTGCTTACAGTTCCTTCTTCATATTGCTGTCGTGCATATGTTACCACAGTGTAGGCTTTCTCAGAAGCGTCACTAAAGGTGTGTATGATAACATTGCAACCATTCTTGCCTTCATTCAAACACCGTGGGACACGAATTGCATCAAGTTATCCAATTTCCTCAAACCATTTCTTCCAGTCCGCTTTAAGTTGGTGCGGCAACTCTTCATCCCATCCTAGAGCTTCCATCCAACCTTCTTGCATCAGCATTTTTGCCGGTACAATATAAGGCGTCAGGAATCCAAACGGATCATAAATAGTGGTAGTTTTCTTCAGCACGTTCCGTTTTGTCAATGGGAATTTCTCTGGTGGTGGGCTGAAACAAAACGAAAACTTGTCTTCTTGAACAATTCACACTACCCCCAAACTCTTTCTTCTACAGATCAACTTCTGCTGCTCGATCGGTTGCTGGTATGTCCTCGATAACTTCAGGTTTCTGAGATACCCATTTGCAAATGTGAAAACCAGCTTTATTTTCAAGTCCGGTTAACTGTTTTCGCACCTCCTTTGCCATTTCAACCGATTCAACTGAAGGCATATATCCATATAACAACTATTCTTTACTACCCCTGCTGGGAGAGGGTACTCTTCTCTGTGGTCATCTGCATGCTTCTGCCTTATACACTGTGCACAGAAGGTACAGTAACAACCCCCAAACACATATCGTAAGAATTCGTAAACTTCTGGCTCCTTTTTCTCTGATGTAAATCTCTCCGTAGAAATCTGAGCAGTGGTCTGTCTTCCATGGTTAAAGCAAGCTCAAGGTACATTTGACTTACGTCGCCTACAAGGGCGACCAGTTCCTTTCGAAATCTAACGAGGATACTAAACATGCCTGTCTGCAATTTTTGTCCAGGCAAGGCTTCGCTGTTTTAAATTTTTCTCTGAAATTCAGTGGAAGCATCAAAGACAATCCTTGTCTTCGTCGTAGACCTGTCAGGTCGTACAACGGGAAATTAGGGAATCAAGGTGGGTGTTGGTTCGACGAATGTCCTGCTTTTCTAGATATGCTTCGATAACCTTCTGATAAACCTCAGCTTTTGCTGGGTCCTTTACCAGTTTTCGCTCGGTTGATTTTAGGCGTTTCTCAGCTAACGGCCTGTTGTTTCGAAGACTGGGCCGGTCATCCCACCATGGAACAGCTACCACACAATGATCATTCTCGAACTTCGTGGACTCGCTCACTTTGCGTCAAGCAACCGATTCATCAGGGGTCATGACCGGTCTAGAAGGCATAATACCCATAGTCTCGAGATCCCAGAATCGCTTTAAGGTTGTATTCAAATCATCCTGCTTTTCCGCTATTGTTTCCACCCCTCCAAACTGCTCCTTGCGAACGGTTTGGCATAAATTGGTATGGTGCATTTCTCCGGTTCTTTCCTTCTTTATCCTGCCCACTGCGGTCCACCCTATGTAAAGGATAAAGTCGCGCACAGTTGATGTTACACGCTCTACTTCTGGGACACTCCTCGCCAAGATGATCATGACCCAAACACCTGTAACAGTCCTAGCTTCTTTGCAGTACCCTATTTCTCCTGAATACTTCTTTTCTTAAAAACATCGCAATTCCAGATGGCATGACTTTCACCACACACCTTACACGCACCTTTCTTCTTACCATCAACTTGGTTAGTTCCATAGGATCTACTCCTTCTCTCGCCTGACTTCCAAGGGGGTTTTCCTGACTTCAAACCATGATTAAGTTCTGTGGCTTGCATCTGATATTCAGCCTTTTCGGCGGTCCAATCTTTGAGTATAATTAGAGACTCAACCTTCTGATTTTATCCTTAACCCATCGAGAATATTGAGCTAGTGAGCGGCTAGTAGTTTTAGACGAAATGTGTAAAGTGTTTCTGCTTCTAATTCCGCCTCTCTATTGTTTTTCTGCAAATTGATTACAGCCTGCTCCAGCATGTCTGCAAATTTTTGCAATTCTTTGGGCATTTTCTTCTCCGTCTAAGAGGTTTCATTTTAAGCAACTCTTCTACATGGCACTGGATTTTCCGTCTATTTCCTCCGTATTTCCTCACTAATCTCGCTTTTGCCGCTTCATAAGCAGCCTCGGAATATCTTAAACCTTAAATCGTTTCTAAGGCTTCGTCTGACAAACAATATTGCCTCCAATCTTGACAAATGTCAACATTCTGAACTGAGCAGAATACATCCACACAACTCGTGAATGTTGCTTTCCAGTGCTGAAATTCAGTTTTGTTCCCACTGAGTGTTGTAATACGAGTTCTTTCTAGGTTTCCTACCCCACTTTTACCATGTTTGTTAAACAAGCTGGTGTTAGAATTAACTTGCATGTCTGCAAAAAAAAAACTTCTACCTTTTGTTACACAGTACCCCCCGCTTTACCTAGCCTGACGAGAATACTGATGAAGAATCGAAATGGTACCTGATACAAAACAAGCAACGAATAAGAGAAATCTTTAAGAAGCCTCCCCTCCCTTATTACAAAGGAAAATCTCTTAAGGACCTATTAGTTAGCTTATAGAACGATGCTCTGACGCTCATACAACTTTCAATACTAGTAAGAGCAGGAGTCGTGTGATGCCCCTTCTCTTATTTTTCGGCATATTTTCCCCAGTTCTTCTGCGAAAAACACAATATATGATTTGTCCCCAGGGCCCCAAAAATGAGATAAATTGTAATATTTTGTCGTCGGAAAGGCCCTTTTTCCTCTTACACATTAATTTTGAAACACATTTTCACAAATTTGCAAGAAGGTAACAGGAAGAGTGAACCTCTTACAGCACATCCGTTCCAGCATTGATACTGTCAATGTCCAACGAACTCATCAATCGATGATTATGTCCATATTTACGTATTGCAGCTATAATAGTCCTGGATAATCAGAGTCCCGCAAACGCATGATCCGCTCCATTGAGAAACGAAGCCTCGAAATCATTTTCCCAGTCAGAAAAACTGCGATCTTCGATTTTTAATAATTTAATAATTTTTTGCAAATGAAAGAGTACCGTTTTGTATTTGGCTGCCTTCTAAGAATGGGCTGCATGTTTCCCGTTTAGGAATTTTTTTCAACGATTTCACCAGAATGCTTTAAAAACTAGAAACAATGGGAAAGCAGCAAAACTGCCGTAGGTGAGACTGGATTTTGCGCGCCGTGGTTTTTATTTTTGAGGCGCCTCGATATTTAATTCACTGCCATTAAGTTTAAGAAACATTAATTCTAAAGTTTTATTTAGGAAAGCCCTGGACGATTTTTGCTTGTAACTTTTATTGTAGTCAGTTTAAATGGTTTTTTGTGTGTTTGCTTTTTATACATTTTGGATATTCTTTCGTACTTCTTATTACTTGTAACTTTTTAGGAAATCAATGTTCCCTTGTTCCCCATTATAACCCAACAGTTCCCTTGTTCCCTAAAAGTTATATTTTAAGATATCCCTTGTTCACTAAAACCCCTGGAAGGCCCTCTTTTTATTCATTTTCCTCGCGACTTTATATCTCAACGCCAGCAACGGTGGCGCAGCCGACTAATTCATTCAGCTGTCTTGTTATCGACGCCTTTAACTTGCGTTTTCCAGCTTTCAAATTTTCCACTTACATTAAAGAGTCCCCAACTGATTCTTCTTCTTTCTCTAACATGTTTACACTGGCTTTCCACTCAAAATTCACAAAAATTTCCTCAGATAAATTCTTGTCACTTTACCAAAAAATCGCAATAACAACAACAAACACTGGCTGAATCTTCTTCTTTGTTTAACATGTTTACACTGGCTTTCTCCTCAAAATCCACAAAAATTTCCCCAGATAAATTCTTCTCACTTTACCAAAAAAGAACAATAAACAACAAACGCTGCCCAACGCGCCACAAACCTGATCCAAAGATGACTTGTAACTCGTTTTTCCTCCAAAATTCCAGCTTCTATTCCACTTTCTGTTTCAAGATTCGGCTCGAAGGACCAAATTAATGTATTTCCCTTGGTTCCACTCGTTATCCGTAAAAAATCTATTCAACAAATGTAAAGGGAAATCACCACGACTTTATTTTTCCAACAACCCCCAAAAAATGTTTTTCACATCCGGTGACTCTTATGTTAAACTGTCAATCACAGAAATATGTGCGTCACTTAACTATACGTGGGGAATAAAAATGATCCTCAACATAAGTCTTTCTTTATTTGATTATACTAATATATTAAAAATTGCTGCAATTTGATTGGCCTAGAACAGTGGTATTTAAGCTTAATTTGAAACACCCACAGGTGAAAATTACAAACCTTTTGCGGGCAGTAGTATAAACAAATAATTGCATGATTTGTACGTGATATTTGGCATAAATACCACTTGTGACATTTCAAAATTGTCTCAAATTTTACTCGCCTAACGGCTCGTGAAATTAAGTGTAACAATTTTGAAATATCGCTCGAGGTATTTATGCCAAATATCGCTATAAATCATGCTATTACCTATATTAATATAAGCGTAAGTTTTTGAAAAATGTCTGCTAAGTTTACTTTTGGTTTTGCATAATTCGATCGCGCAGTACATCAACACACGTAAGCTTAAGCTTTTTGAAGTACATAAATATTGGAGGCTGTGGTAGAATTTTCTGACAATTTGTGTGTAAATAGCTCTTGTACAAAGCCTTTGTACAGTTTTAATCTCGCACGATTCAATTAATGTCGAGTTCCGAAGAAAAACGTTCGGAGGAATTTTTTTCAAGCGTTCTATAAAGTTTGCTTATTATAGCTTACTCTTTTATCTTTGTATGACACAGACAAGGCACATATTCTTGCAAATGTGCTAATTTCAGAACAAACTGTGCCACCCTCAACGTCACTCACTCGCGCGGAAACACGCGAATTTGCACGGCGCTCGTGTGAATTTCAGAAGATAGGCGATCGTTTTGAGACTTTTTTTGAGTGCTCTCTGAACTTTCCAAGTGCTTCATATCTCGATAGGCAGTGCATGCGCAGTGAAAGAATAAGCCAATGTTATATAAACATTACTAGAAATACGTTTATCGCACTAAAAAACCTCGCGAGGCCGTAATGGGCCAGCAGTATAAATAGAGGGGGAAAGGCCAAGGGGGAAAATGTGATTAAAAACAAACACAAAAACAAAACGAAAATATATATATACAATAAAGAAAAAAAAACGGCTTAGTCGAGAGTCGAACCTGGAGTCATGGACCATCCGCGCGGAAGGCCGGCTCCCAGACCTTTGATCCACGCTGCCAAGGATAACCGGTTAATCGGGGAGATTATTATATTTAAAGTATTATTTGCGTGAAATTCTGCCATTAGACGCTGTTTGAAACTAGTGGAACTGTACCATGAATTCAAATATATAGTTATTTAAGGAATGTTAGTCATAATTATTTCTTGTTGTTGTTAACTTTCCGCCCTCCTTTTCCCCGCAAGTTTTTTTGTTATTGTTGTTTCGTCCGAGCGGGATATTAGTGAACTTACGCAACAGGACGGGAGAGGAAAGAAGACGGCAAACCTTGTGTTACAAGCGTGACAATAATTGTTTGAAACAACTTTTCGCCAAACTTCACTTTCATTTAAACAGATCTTTTTGTAAAGGACCAGAAAACAGTGACAATCATGACAAAATACGCAAGTAATAGCCTTGTTACGTTTGTCACACATTAGTGTTTTGCCGTCGTCTTCTTCCTGTCGTCCTGTTGCGTAGACTCACGTTGTTGTTCGGAAAAGCTTTTGACTGTGTATCTCATGCTGTCCTACTACATAAGTTGAATTCTTATTTTGGAGTTCAAGGTTCTCTTCTATCATGGCTGACAGACTACCTGACCGATCGAACTCACTTCTCGGTACTAAATGGTCAGCACTCAACCGTGCTTAACGTTACTTGCGGGATTCCCCAAGGGTCAGTACTGGGCCCATCGTTGTTCGCCTTGTACACCAATAACCTACTCGGAGTTACTTCCATAATTTTCAGTAGTTATACCGTTCTCGGACTTGGTCAGTGCGGATTAAACTGATGAACGGGGAATAATAGATTAAACATCTTATAATGATTTGTTCTCTTGTCATTCATCAAGGAGTATTGTGTTACCCTCTTTTAATACAATTTAGAAAAAAAACTTGAAAAGTTAAAACAGCGAGGATAAACGCAGATTTGACTACATTGTGTACTCATCCTGTTATTCTCTTTGTAGCCGCGAAGTGGCCTCAACTGACAAAACCTGTGAAAGTGGTCAGAACTAAGGAAAACAAGTTGAGTAACAGGTAACGGCTTTCATATCTTCCAAATGATGACAAAATATAATTTATTTTTGATCTTCTGTCATCTTTGTTAACATTCTTTATCTCTGTCAGGTTTTACCCTTACAATGAAGTAGAAACTGAAGCGATTCTTGCCATCGATGATGACATTCTGATGCTAACACCAGATGAACTGGAATTTGGTTTCCAGGTATGCGTACACCGTACGGTAGACCTGTCTTCAAACCACACATTAATTCGAATCAATCTCTAACTTGTGATAGGTGATCAGTTCCGCCTGGAACACACGCATTACTTTGCTGCTACTTTAGTGTGCATGGTGAGTCGCCAAGAGTGTTTTTCATAAACGTGTAAGCGGGTAACATGAAAAAGGTTCTAGTCTTTTAGTAGGAATATATAAACGTCATCCAAATTTCAACCATCTATCATACTCAAGTTTTTTCCAGTATCCGATAATATCATTGCGGAGTTTTCTCTGCCGTGTCCGGACACTTAATACTGAAAAGAGAAGTAATCGTGCATGTTTTTTTTTTTAATCTTAAGGCGTGGCGGGAGTTCCCAGATCGTCTGGTGGGATTTCCTGGTCGTGTTCACACTAATCAGAACAGCAGTTCCCAGTTTAAGTACGAATCAGAGTGGACTAACAACGTATCCATGGTACTGACGGGATGCGCTTTTCATCATAAGGTATCAAAAGTGCCATGGGATTCTTAATTCTTTATGTTGCCTTGTTTCTGAAATCTTGTTACACTTGCTTATCACAAGAGGAAGTAACGAGACGTATCGGACTTTTCAGCGGGCAGATAAATACCAATTTTGTTTGAATTGAAAGGTCTTGCTTTAACAACGTAAGTGAATATATTAAGTCCAATAACAACTCAGTCAAAATAGTTTGATGAGGGTATGTTTTGTGTAGATTCTTAAATTGTTAGTCATCCATCTTCACCAGCGCGTTCGTTACGAATTTCGCCATAATTAGCCTGCCTCTATTCTACTATTACTTTGATTAGCTTCTTAACTGGATAGTGCCTCGCGGCGTTGCGGCGTCCGTACACCGCAAAGAACAATCAGTTAGTCTGGATATATAAATCAATTCATTAACTGGTTGAATCGCGCATAATTACGGCCTTGAAAGCCAGCTGGATTTTTTAATACCTTTAATAACTAGGCTGTTCATTTTATCGCGAGGATAACATTCATGACTTTCCTGTGCTTCACTCACAGTTCACATATATCATGATCTATCCCATTTATTCCATGCAATCACAATAATTAAAGGTTACTACCGTTGTTTTTCTGATAGTATTTCAGTCACCTGTTCACGTACATGATGCCTTCATACATCAGGGACTGGGTTGATAAACACATGAACTGCGAAGACATTGCTATGAATTTCATGGTCGCTAATTACACTGGAAAGGCACCAATTAAGGTAATGGATAGCGGAAGTGACCAGGGAGACTTTGACGAAATGTACTGAACCTCCTATTCATGGAAATTGCTAATGGTGACTTGAAACTACCATAGCAACGACAAGATAGCGTTACTTGAAAAAGGGATTGTCGTTCATTTGAATTACCTTAAATGCGTTACTGAAGCGTCCAAGGACCTGAAATCTCTTAGAAATTTTTTGAACTTTATAGAAGGAAAGAAAAATAGCCCACGGGTCTTCTCTTCACACACCTGTTTTATATGGCGGCTATCTTATTTTTCCCGGCGATGATGGGGCCAACCACGCACTGAAATTTCAGCGTATATCGCGTTAACAAATTCAAGTCGTTAATGCCACCACATAAATCAATATACATTGCAAAGGACAGGCAAGTGACGACTATCTTAATGTCAAACAAGACCGTTGTTTTTTGCTTGTCATGACTCTAAGACGCGTCTTGAACTGCACCATTAATGCGAGCCTATATCTACTACTATTCCTTCCTTTTTTCTGGGTGATTCATATTGCAAGTAATACGTTATTCCCAGTTAGGTTAGAGAAGAGTTAAGTGTAAGTTGATTTTTTAATGCATATTTTGCGTTGCTTACATCCACAGGTTACCCCTAGAAAGCGCTTTCGCTGTCCGGAGTGTGTGACCGAATCTTTGTGGGCAGATCCAAGTCATTTTGTAGAACGATCTGAATGTCTGAATGAATTTGTGCGAGCTTATGGTCATATGCCACTTAAGACTGTGGAGTTCCGAGCTGATCCGCTGTTGTTTGGCGAAAAACTGCCGGACAGGGTTAAATTGTACAAGGATATAGGAAGCATTTAAAAGAGACTGTAAATATTTTTTCAGGTGCAATACAGTTAGTTTTGTCACTAAATTAGCCTGCTTGATTGGGGTTTGAAGTGGAAGGGAAGAGGGAAATAAACGCCTACTACACAGTGGGATAATATTTAATGGGTTAACTCGATCTAAATAAGCATTTCTTATCCTAAGGTTTTTTACATGTTATTTTAAGTAGGCAAACCGCAATGCAATACTGCAGGCGGTCGAGAGGCTATTTAACGATACCAATATTTGTCAATCAGGTCAATGCATACGTTTTAAGCAGAAGACAAAAGTTATTAAAATAAGGTCTTCGCCTTCGCGCAGACTTCCCACAGTTGTTTTCAACCCAAAACTCCTCTTTCTGGCATTTTAGAATTAAATACAGGTTGTCAATTGCCCTCTCAGGTGTTCGCAGACAGTGAACAGTAAAATATTCATCCCTGGGTATTGTTATTCATGGCATTATAATAAGGTAATCTGACCTGGGACAAGCCCAAGACAGACTGAATTGAATACGTGAATAGGTAATCTAGAAACCCGACTTACTCGCTGGGGAGGGCGGGGGGTCGCCAATCACCTTCGTGTAGGACAAAGTGAAGTGAATTGGACAATGTATGCCAGTGTTTCCTATTATATATACTCATTTGCATATCATTAATTAATCCCCGGGGATGATATTTACAATTCAGATGGAACGTGAATAATGAAGAGCGATTAGTTAATAAAAAATACGAGAAATAATCTATTAAGTTCCCCCCCCCCC